CCATGTGATTTTCATGTAGGATTGGTATGAATTAACTCTCAAAACTGTTTGGTGCCAGTTGTTTATGTTTTTGTTTTGTTTTTAAATTGTAGTAAAATACACAGAAACATGAAATTTACTATCTAACTGAGTTGCTTTTCTTTTTTTCCGTACTGGGGATTGAACCTGGGAGTGCTTTACTACTGAATCATATCCCCAGACCTTTTTATTTTTTCTTTTGAGACCGGGCCTCCCTTAATTGCTGAGGCTGGCCTCGAACTTGCAGTCCTCCTACCTCACCCTCGCAAGTGGCGGTGGGGGTGTTACACTCATGTGCTACTGTGCCTGGCTCTAAATCACTTTTGAAGTACAACTTAGCAGTATTAAATATTTGCATGTTACCGTGGGACAGATCTTCAGAACTCTCTTCACGAGGCCAAAATGAAACTATACCCATTGAACAATACCCCTATAACCCTCCCCAAACCCCTGAAAACCAAATTTCATTCTATGAATTTGATAATTCTAGGTATCTCAAATAAGGGAAATCATATGGTATTTCTGATTGGCTTATTTCATTTTGCATAATCTCCTCAAGGTTATCCATGATGTAGCATGTGTCAGCATTTTTTTCTTTTTTAAGGCAGAGTAATATTCTGTCGTGTGAACATAACTATTTTGTTCATCATTTGTGGAGGGACATATGGCTCTCATGAATAATGCTGCTATGAACATGGGGTATAAAAATATCTCTTCATATCCAGGTTTTCAATATTGTGAGTATATACCCAGAAATAGAATTGCTGGATCATATGATATAATATTTTGAGGAAACTTCATACTCTTTTGTAGTAACTGCATTATTTGATATTTCTACCAAAGTGCACTAGGGTTCCACTTTCTCCATGGGCTTATTTTCTGGGTTTTAATAGTAGGTATCCTAATAGGTATGGTATAATGTCACTGTTGTTTTTTTATTTAAAAAAAGTTTTTTTAGTTATAGATGGACAGCATGCCTTTATTTTATTTACTTATTTTTATGTGGTGCAGAGGATTGAACCCAGTGCCTCACATGTGCTAGGCAAGAGCTCTGCCACTGAGCTCCAGCTCCAGCCCTCACTGTGTTTTTGATTTGCATTTCAAGAGTGATTAGTAATGTTGAGTATCTTTCCATGTACTTTGTGATCATATGTATATATTCTTTGGAGAAATGTCTCTTTATCTCCATTGCCTGTTTTTAAAACCCAGGTGGAAATTTCAATCCCCAACTTATCAGGGCTGCTCTGTAACCTATTGCAATACCAATTTGCAAATGTTTTCTCCCATTCTATGAATTTTTTCTAACTTCTTGATTATGTCTTTTGATATATAAAAGGTTTTCATTTTTCGAGAGTCCAACTTATCTATTTTTCTTTCATTGTGTGTGCTGTTGGCCTGATTTTGTAATAAAATTTTTTATTGAATTCAGGGTTAGGAGCATGAAGTCCTCTCATGTAACTGTAGTGCTATAACTTTCCTGTGTTTAGTATTTGTTCAATTTATCATGGGTTTTTCCACTAATTTTAAATTTTATGTTTTTATTAGTACATTATAGTTTTACATAATTGTGGGGTTCATTTTGACATATTCATAAATCCACATAGCATAATTTGCTCCATTTTAGTCCCCAGCACTACCCTCTCCCTCCCCTCCTTCCTCCCTGATTCCCTTCCTCTAATCTATTAGTCTTCCTTCTATTAATTTTTATTTATTTATTTATTTTTAAAATTTTTAATTTTTTAAAAATTATTTTTATAGTTGTATATGGACAGAATGCCTTTATTTTATTTATTTATTTTTATGTGGTGCTGAGGATCGAACTCAGTGCCTTACGCATGGTAGTCAAGTGCTCTGCCACTGAGCTACAGCCCCAGCTCTATTAATTTATTTTTAAAAATTGGATCATTATAGTTAAAAGTGGAATTCATTGTAATATATTCATATGCATATATAACATAGTTTGGTCAATTTCATTATTCAGTTTCTCCCCTTCCCATCCCTCCTTCGTCCCCCTTCCCCCCTCAATTCCCTTCCTCTACTCCATAGTTCTCCCACCTATTTTCATGAGATCCTCCCTTTTTAAAAAAAAAAGTCCATATTTTCTGTCTAGATTCCACCTCTAAGAGAAAACATTTAACACTTGACATTCTGAGTCTAGCTTATTTCTAATTTTTATTTTTAAAAATAGTACATTAGGGGCTGGGATTGTGGCTCAGTGGTAGAGCGCTCGCCCAGCATGGGCAGAACCCAGGTTCGATCCTCAGCACCACATAAAAATAAAGGCATTGTGTTGTGTCAATCTACACCTAAAAAATAAATTTAAAAAATAGTACATTAATATTATCTGTCTTGACATTGCATTGCTAACACTACCTTCAAGTTTGTGGTGAGATCAAACCATTTCTAAAGAGAGACTGGATCTGAGTATCATATAAAAATATATTTAGGGGGGATTTCAAGGAGAGATTGTATATTTGAGAACTAGCACTGAACCTGTATACTATATTTCATTTCATCCATAATACTGAATACTGAATATTTGTGTTTTTTCTCCACAGAAGAGAGCTTGGAAGACAAATGAATGTTCCAGAAGCCAAAGTGCAGGTCAGTAAATCTGAAGAAACAATTTGGCAGGGCAGTAATTCTACCTGCTTTATGACATGGATATTTTTATCTTAGACATTTGCAAAACGGTTTGTTTTTGTTGTATTTGTTAATTGGGCAAACAAATTTTGAAATTTAGTCTTTGTGGGTGAAAAATGGAATAAGTAAATTCAAGTTTGTGGTTCTTTTTCATTATTAGAGGGTATGTGATTTCCTATAAGAGAAAACAAAGGAAAAAGCTGTTTTTCCTATTTTGTGTACAGAATCAAAGATATAATTATATACACATATGATACATTAATATATTCAATGTAGTTCAAGTTTTTGAAACTAGTATACTTTATGGAGCATTTTTTTTAAGATTTTTGAATTTCAACTTTATTACTATTTGTATTTGTGTCATTTACAGAAGTTACTTAGCCTCTTTTTTTTTTTTTTTGTGGTGCTGGGGATTGAACCCAGGGCCTTGTGCATGTGAGGCAAGTACTCTACCAACTGAGCTATATCCCCAGTCCCCTCTTTAAAAATAAATAAATAAATAAATAAATTATATACATATATATATATTATTTATTTATTTATTTTTGGTACTGGTGATTGAACTCCGGGGCACTTAACCACTGAGTCACATTCCCAGCCCTTTTTTGATTTTAATTAGAGACAGGGTCTCACTGAGTTGCTTAGCATCTCACTGAGTTTCTTAGTGCCTTGCTAAGTTGCTGAGGCTGGCTTTGAACTTGAGATCCTCCTGCCTCAGCCTCCTGAGCCCCTGGAATTACAGGCGTGCACCATCACACCTGGCTTCACTTAACCTCTTTATGGAGCATTTTTATGTGGAGTCAGATTGCGGCATAACCTTACCTTGGAAGCATTCAAATTGATGGAGGAAGGGGCAAGTTATAAGAGGATTCAGTTGTACTAAATTATTTAAAACTAAGTAAGTATAAGCACTTTATTTTTTAAATTTTTTTGTAGTTGTAGATGGACAGAATGCCTTTATTTTATTTGTTTATTTTTATGTGGTGCTGAGGATCAAACCCACTGCCTCACACATGCCAGGAAAGCACTCTACCACTGAGCTACAGTCCCAGCCCAGCATAAGCACTTTAAATAAATGGATTTATAAATACTGGGATGAGACAGTAATTCATCCAAAGAACACATTCTATGAATAAGTAATGTATGTATCAATTGAGCTGAGACTGATGTGGGAAGATACCTGAAAAGCCCAAGTGTCTGATCCTCCTCCTTTTAGTTTGTAAATTTTTGGTAAGATGAAATGGAAAATGGCAATTTTCAATTTGAATTGCCCACATGTTATGATATGTCTACTTCAAATTATTGCCAAAGAAGTTACTTTATGATTGTGATAGGACAAAAGGTTTCAAGATTTGAAAATTTATCTAAAGAGTGAAATGAACAAAAAAATTATTGAATTAATTTTATTTAACCTAAGAAGGATGAGAAAGGTATAGACAAAGTTACAAAAGGCAAAATACACCTTGCAGGTGGAATGTTAAATGCATAGATGAATCCTCTCTTGAATATTTGCTAACTTGGAAAAATACGTTTTTTTCCTTTTTGGTGGTAGTATTTTGAAGAGGCAGATTTTGTGGAATTTGTTTCCCTAAACAGAGCCCTCATTTCAGGGTAAATTTGTACCTATCTTGGATTGAATACTTTTTATTCCTTCAGGCAGTGATAACTAATATGTAGGCAGGTCATGGAATCAAACAGTGATTACACAAGAGTAATAACCAAAGTGATAAATTCAAAACAACAACAACAAAAAAGGAAAGAAACATCAGGATGACCTTACTATTATTATTAGCTTTGTTGCAGCATGCATGTATGAATGCAGTGATGGAAACAGGCTGTGGACATGATGGTGGATGCCCAGAAAAGTAGCTTCACAAAGCAAGCCACTGAGCACTGGTGTACTAATGCCACATGCCAGGCTCCACAGTCAAACCTGGCTCAGGTGGGAGAAGTTGGGAAGTGGTTGTGAGCATTTCTTAGGGTGGTAAGGCACGGTCAGAAGAAAAGAAAATCTCAAGGTATGATGAGTTGCTTTTGCCCTCCCTGGATCACATGTCTCTCTGTGGAGTTCTAAAGGGAACTTGAGCTACAGGAGACAAAGGAGGGAAAACCCCAGATGTTCTCAACTACTTCCATACTCTGCAGGGGGAATTTCTCAAGATACTTAACATGTGATTTCCCCTTCTCTTTTGCAAATATAATAAAAGTGTTTTAGGAAACCAGTCTTGGGAATACCAACTTGATAATAGCCCACACCATCAGTCCATTGTAAGCTTTCTTTTTTTTTTAACTTTCACATTTTTTTTATACTTTGTTTTTATGTGGTGCTAAGGATTGAACCCAGTGCCTCATGTGTGCTAGGCAAGCGCTCTACCACTGAGTCACAACCCGAGCCCCTTTCTTTACATTTATGTAGACTTGACCAATGTACCTTTGTACCCCACTTCAATGTGAGCTCCTTTACAGTGACTTTCTTTAGATTATATGTTCTTGTGTCACCATTTGCAATTTGGGAACTTCCCAAATAATTAAATACAATGGAAATCTCATTTGGTAAGAGGATAGTGATATACAATAGGTTGATTTTTTTTTTTTTTTTTGGTACTGGGGCTTGAACCCAGGAGCACTTAACCACTGAGCCATATCCTTAACCCTTTTTATATTTTATTTAGAGACAACGCCTCACTAAGTTTTTGAGGCTAGCTTTGAACTCAAGATCCTCCTGCCCCAGACCCCGCAAGCCACTAGGATTACAGATGTGCAAGCCATGCTTGGCTGACAGGTTTTTAAAAATCTATTTGCATTTTAATAATTGGCAAGAAATTTACAGAAGAGCCCATTTTGTGACTCCCACTCATCCCTCATTTTGGTCAGGATGCAGACTGTACTTATCTGGTTACCAGACGGGTTATCATGAGTGACCAGGAGCAACTCACAAGCTAGACCTGCATTCAATACCTAAAGAAATCATTAAAGAATATTAAAATTGGAAGGAGGGAAACAAAAGTATTCACTCTTTTCCAGAGGGTACAGGCCTGGTGCTCACTAAGGATGAGCTAAAGAAGGTCAATTGTGTTCTTATATTTCCTAATATTTTGGTTTTTAGTTTGTTTGTTTGTTTTTGTTTTTGTTTATGGTGCTGAGGATGGAACCCAATGCTCATGGATTCTACACAAGTATTCCACCACTGAATTATAGCTCAGGCTCCCTAAGGTATTTGAGTAATGAAAAATAATTTCTGACTGGTATAGTGGTGTATGCCTGTAATGCCAGCAATATGGGAAGCTGAGGCAAGAGATCATGAGTTCAAGGTCAGCCTCAGCAATTTAGCAAGACCCTGTCTCAAAAAGAGGGCTGGAGATGTAGCTAAGTGGTAAAGCCCCCCCCTGGATGCAATCCCAGTACCAAAAATAAATAACAATAACAAAAAAGTTTCTGCTGTGCAATCCAAAATCTGAGTAGCCTATAAAGCTGCATGATGTGTTTTTTCCATTATGGCATTAACTGTTCAAAATACTAAATCGATCCCTTTTCCCCTCTGATTACAGACATGGTTTAACAATAGGAGAGCCAAATATAGGAAAAGTCAGAGGGAATCAATGCTCAGACGTATTCCGCCTGGTGTCCCAGACTACATTTTCATGACAGATGTGGAGGAACCCTAGATTGCCATCTTTCTTCAGGAGCCAGATTGGAGATATGTTTATCTGTTGGCACTGAAATATGGGTGATCCATGCCACCCCTGTTGCCCTTATCTTTTCAGCACTTATATTAGCAATAAAGAGTTGAATTTTTCAGCATTATTTGTTTTCATGTGCCTACTCGGGTATGTAGGGTATCAAAGCAGACTGTTCAGGATATGCTATTTAAACAAAACAATCTGGAGCTATGCTTTCATGAGGTGATATCCCTGAGTCACCATCAGTAGACCCTGCACATCATAGTCTCCCAAGTGCTGTGGTAGGTTCACACTGACCCATAAATTCTTCTCTGTCCTCTCACCCATCATGCCTTGCTTACTCCTATTCTTGTCCAGTGTGTCTAAGAAGGGGCAGAACAAGTCTCTAGTGAGAGGACAGTGTGTTTCCACACAGGGTTGAGTTCCAGCCATGCTGACAAGTTCACTCCAATCCCAGTATACTGAGACTAAAACTTCCTAAGATGAAACTCACAGGATTTATGAAAAGGTGGCTAGTGAACATTCATTTCTTCAGTAACCAAGCACACCATGTTTGGCCTCACTTTTATATGAGCTTCTCTGGTCAAACTGCAAATTTTCTAATTCTTTTCTTTCTTTCTGTTCCTAATTCTCCAAACTCTGTTTATTGCCCTCCATTTTTGTGGTGCATGTGTCCACTAGGAGCTGTTCTGCTCCAGAAGTCCTATAGCTTCCAAAGAGCATAGGAATAAATCTTGTTAAGGCCAGAGTGAGGTTCCTGTCCCTTATTCTCTTCCATCTCCAGCCCAGGAGATGTGTCACACCTTCTTCATCTCAGAAGCTGATTAATACTGCCTCACAGTATTAGTCATCTTTACATACTTAGGAGAATCTCACTGCCAGTTCACTACTAAAAGGAAAGGAATCTTTTGGTTCAGAGGTGCTCAGAGCAAGAGTTAGAAGATGGTCCCTGAGGAAGATTCCAGAATAATTACTCACTGAAAAGAAGCTGTAGCTCTGCTTTCTTCCTGCTCTGTGCTTTGTGTAAAACAAAAAGGATAGAAAAAAAAAATTCATGTTGTGGGGATGAAGAGACAAGGCCTAGTCTTTGAAAGCATTAAGTTCTTTTCATGTGAAACTCAACGTGAGTAATTTTGAGTTATGGGAGTTTCAATGGATGTGTATGTGAAAAGTGAATAACTGGATGGCATAGTCCTACTATTAGGTGATAGCAGTGACTTCAGGTCAAGTACCAAAGTGATCTGAGAATTCCCTCTAGTATGGGTTAGTCAAAGACCATTT